TTGCTAAGCTTCGTAGTCAAATAAGTTAAGGGGCCAGCTTGATTTGAACCTTGATAGCTTCGGCTATATTTCTTTATTTAATCTTAGTTTTACTTTAATTCTTAGTCTCTTAAGTTCGAGCCCAAGTGCGGTCTTTGTTTGTATACTCCCAGGCGGAGTTTCGTTAAATCTTTTGGAATAATAAAGGGTTAGTTACCCCTTCTATCTTGTTGTTTGTTATCACCCGAACTTTAGCGATTATTCGCTTATCAGTTCTTAAGATTCTTCACTTCCAACATTAACTTAGAATTACAAAGCGAGGAATTCTACAGTGTTAATAAACCAATTTTTATCATTTAATCTTTACTATAACTTCTATACTTTTTCGCAGTTCTGACCAGGATGTAAATTCAGTGGCAGAGGATTTAAGTCGGGGGTTTTGAATGTTTAGGGACAGAACGCTTGGCAGCGTCGCCTGCAGGACCTTTTACACTCTATCGCCCAGCTCTGAGAGTGAATATTCCGGCTTTAATGATTTTGCTAAGCTGACGTTAGAATTGCGCCATTAAAATCCTGAGCTAGCTTAAAGTGTCCATTATGTGTACCCGCCGACTAAGTTACTTTTAATTTTAACTTTTTTATTTTAAATACCCGTAAGTGGCGGAGTTTATTTGTATTATTTGCTGTGTGCTTTCTGTTCATTTAAAGATTTCATAAAAATGTTATTTACAATGTTCTTGAAGACTCTCATAATATTTCAGATGAAGCGATAACTCGCTTGTGAGTATAATGATTCTGAAGCACTTTGAGTTAATTTTGCCCATTTAGAACCCCTTTAATGTATTACATGTATAAATACTATATAGTATTTGGCAGCCTGCAAATACTATCTTTAAATGTTGCGATTGCTGTAGTGCAGGGATTCGCAAACGTTTCCTTGCATCGACTTGTTTTAAAACAGTAGTTTTCTTCATCGACAGCCTTGCAATTTTCTTTGTATTGTACAGCGTACAACATAATAATAAAAGAAATTCACCTAAACAACTTTGTAGAGACATTAGGATTATTTTTCGAAGCAAGAAATAAGAAAAATTAGCAAGCCTTCGCTAGAAATCAAACCACGGACCTCTGGAATACCGGCCCAGTGTGCTGACCACTACACCACAAAGGCACGCTAAGAAGGTGGGAGAAATACCTTATATCCCCCTTTTAACCGGAGACGATTTTTTTAGAGGACCCATCGCCAAATCCTGGTGTGGAGAAATCATCAATCCAACACCCTTTTATTCGGGCGCCACTGTGAGACTCCGGTAATTCTTTTTGAGCATAAAGATATGGTCACTTTACTTAACTGTCCGGCAAACTACGTTAATGGCACTACATGTTTAGGAAGTCCTCCTAGCATTGCTACATTGACGGTTATCCGCCTTTCACATTTACATTAAATGTGAGTTTCTTGATAAATATTTCATTCACTTCGTCTTATCTCTAAGAGATGCCCTTGTTGGCAGTAATAGTCCGTGAACAGATCTATTCACAGATCTGTGAGTTTTAGACGCAAAGGATAACTCTGTCGAAGTGCTCTGTCAAGAGGGCAGGAGAGCAGTAATGAGGCGCCCTCGCTTCCCCGCAAGAAAACCAATCATGACATTGCTAACCCGTCTGAGGCGTGCGTCTGTATACGCTGGAATTTCCCGTGGTTGGTACAGGCTTGGAGAAGAGCGGTTGCATTTCATCCTCTTGAGAAAGATATTGGAAGAGAGTTTAAGTAAATTTTCTGTCTCTTCTTCCTGCATCGTGACCATGTTCCTCTTGATGCCTGTCTTGGGAAACTTTTGAAAGTTTCAAGCGGACTTCCTTGTCAAATTTCTGTGTTTGAGAGCGCAGTCTTGCTAGTTCATCCGCTCGTTAGTTGCCTTTCGCCCGGTATGTCCTTTTTATACCACTATCTTAAAGGTATGGAAGAGCCTAACGTCAAGAGGATCTCAAGCTAGGTGCTGCCCGTGTGCTATGTTTTGGAGGAAATGAATGAAAAATTAGCAACGACTTTCGCCGGGAGGTGAATCTAATCACGGACCTCTGAACACCGGCTCATTGCTGACCATGCATACGAGGCACGCTAAAGAAGGCGGGAGAAATAAACCGTTAATAACTTAAAAAATAGGCAATGGTCTCAGAATAAAAATAGAAAAAATTAGAAAAAAATGACTTGAGTTTATTAAAACAATTTAGTAGATTTATTATATATATAGATATATTATTATTATTTTCGTTTTCAAATACAAAATTTTACAGAAGCAAAATCATACATTCATGCACAAAAGTTCGACTTAAATTAATGTGATGGCTGCTTTTGTTGAATCGATGAATGCCGTTTTATTTTTTTTCCAAAAAATTGCTTAACGTAATTCTTCAAATCAGCTCGTTCAAAAATATTCAATCTTTTTCTTGTTTTCCGTAGTACAATACTGATTTGATTGAAGCCTGCTTCTACTAGGTAAGAGGAGGGAAAAGTCAATAACGTTGGCTCGGTAACAACTTTTATTTTTGGATATTTATCTCGGATGACTTTTAAATTCCAAAACATAGCGTACTTATATGACTTGAATAAAATCTGATTTTGCATCATACAGCTTTATGTCAATAAAAAATTAATTATCAGATTTATTAATAATTTTATACACTGACTACCAATAAGTATTTGGACACCTATGCAAATGACGATATCTGCGGTCCTAAGGTACGTCACGGACTCCGCCGTTATATATCGTGAAGGAAACAGCATCGGCTTTAGCCGCATGCAAGATGCCTCGCAGTTCGAAGCTCTCTGATTTCGAGAAAGGGTGTAATTATCGGATATCACAAATGTGGCCGATTCTTAAGGGACATATTAGCGAGTGAAGTACACAAAATCGCAGTGGCCTATGTGATTAAGATTGGAAGGTGAGCGGTGATTCGGAATGTGCCCCGAGTCGCCAGACCACGAAACGGGAGATAGGACCGACGGTACTGTCCAGAGAAATTCGGCAAACCAACAAACGGGCCTCATCCCGAGGAGTTTCACGGAGTATTGATTCATGAATACCATCATAAAAAAGCACATCTACTTGGTTTTTCATGGTCGTGCTGCTGCCATAAGCCTTTGATCACAAAGTCCAACCGCTGCTCGGTTAATGTGGTGCAAAGCACATCGAAATTGGGCCGTAGATCAGTGGAAACGGGTTCTTTGGAGTTACGAATCAAGGTTCACCCTTTACCGTTCGGATGACAGGGTCTGGGTCTGGCTGCCAACAGTCAAGTTCGGCGGAGGTGGAATTATGGTCTGGGGGTGTTTCTCCTGGTATGGGCTGGGACCCTTGGTCCCCATTCATGGTGAGCTCAACTCCGATGCCTACTGCACTATTTTGGATGACAATGTGCTTCCTGCGTTGTGGCAGTTTTACGGGTTGGACCTCTGTTACTTTCAGCACGACAATGCCAGTTGCAGGTTTCGACGTTAACCAAGGATTGGTTATGGTGTGCCAATGGAGCTTCATCGAAAGGATTGGCCTGACCAGAGTCCAGGCCTGAATCCTATCGAGAACCTCAGGCACGAGTTGCATCGCCGAATTCAGGGGTGCACTACCCGTGCAAAATCGGTGAAGGAATTCTATGTCTTCTCCAAGCCGAGTGGAAGAAAATACCACTAGCTGTCATACAAAGACTTGTGGGAAAGTATGCACCGGAGGGTCCACGCTGTAATTACCTCTTGTGGAGGCTCTACCAACTATTGATTTTGAATAAAGTTAGTTTTTCTTTTCTATCACAGGTGTCCAAATACTTATTGGTAGTCAGTGTATAACATAATCATAATACAGTTGCACATAAATAACTTAAAAAATAGAAATTAGTCTATGAATATAAACAAAAGTTTTGAAAAAAATTTGATTGATTGAAAAAGAGTTGAAAAAAAAAGATTTATTAGATTTATGTTTTATTATTTTTACTTTTTCAAATATATACCAGTTTTCAGACATCATATCATACATTGCAATTTCACAAAAGTTCAATTTTAATTAATTTGGTGGCTGCATTTTTTGTATTGATGAATGCTCTTTCTTGAAAGTGTTAAATTCTTTAAATAAGCTCATTCAAAAATGTACAGCCTGTTTTTACTTTCCGTAGTACAGTACTTATTTGAATAAAGCCTGCTTCTACTAGGTAAGAGGAGGCGAAAGTAAAAATATTTGTTCAGTAACAACTTTTATTTTGGGCTATTTCTCTCAGATGACTTTTAAATTCCGAAATATAGCGTGCTCATATGCTTTGAATAAGAATCTGATTTTGTATGATATAGTATATCAACAAGCAATTAATTACCAGTTTTATTAATAAATTTTTTTCTTATCAATGGGATCTAGTTTATGACGATGAATAGCCAATGCATATTCGGTTATCGACCTCCAGTCAACCTTTTGATAATCATGATCCCCTTTAAAATTTCAGGGACTCTCAAGGATTGATGCTTTATTCTTTCAAAAGGTTACATATTTTTTAAATTGACGTCACTGTTTTCTGACACTTTAAACTGCCTGTACGTTTTAAATCACTTTGCATTTTTAATGGTTTTAAAACTTTTTAGGTACATATATGGTGACGAAAATCCGACTGAAGTTACAGCTGATTTGCTGGTGGCGGCAGAAAGATACTGTCTCCCACATTTGCGAGAACATCTGCAGGTACAGTTGCTGCCCAATCTCACTGTGGTTCAAGCCTGCGATATTGTCGAGGGTCTAGAATATAGGCAACAAAACGATGAAAACTGCCCTGTAAAGATGGCTTGTTGGGCAAAGATGGAAAAACATGCTCTGAGAATCTTTGTTACTGATCTTGTCCTTCATTTAAGCAGATCTACTCTCATTAGACTTCTCGAGTCGGACGACTTAAACATACCCGATGAAGCATACGTTTTCTGGGGTGTATGGCGGTGGGGCCGTAAGTTGTGCTGCAAAAGTAATCGACCATTAACAGAAGAATCAGTCGCTTCTTTTCTCGATGATCTTCTAGTTCTCATGAGGTAATCACCACTAAATTTATTACATTTTATTGTAATAATTATTACTTCATAGATATTGCTGTAAGTGTTTGTAAATATATCTGTTTATAATTTTAATTTTATACATTTTCGTAATTTTAAGTATTTCCAATATTTGTATTTTTTTATTTTTATAAACTTTGCAATAAAAAAAAAGAGGTAGGGACACTTCTACAGCTTTTCTTGTCCTGGGCTCCTAATGGCAAACTGCACATTCAGTTGATCAATGTTAAACGAATTTCGCATACTGCGCATGCCCAAAAGAGAATTTGGCGCAATTACTACTTTGGTACAATTTTTTAAAAGAAGATAAATACGGCTTATGGTTCATATTCTGTTATCTGGGCGTAAACAGTTCAAGATTTTAAAACTTGTTAGTTGTTTCATTACTTAGAATGTAAATATCGATTGTAAATTACGCGCAAATTTTCGCTTAAGAACAATTACAAAACAGAAAACATTAGAAGATACATTAGCTGAATCTTTATTGATTATACTTGTGAAGAATTGCCAATTGCGTATTTATCATACGTTCCATTCATATATGCTCTAAGAAATTAAAGAATAAATCCGGTTTAAATTACTCAATTAAAGTCACGGAAATTATCATATTTAACTGATATTTAATATAACGTTTATGAACAAAATAAACCAAAAGGAAATGGAACAGAAGCAAATGCATTAAGCACAAAACAAATTTGGGTAGTATTGCAATTATAAACAGTCGGCAAGACCTTCATGACGAACAGGCTTGTGTAGAGTTACTTATGCTTAGCGGCCAGTATTTGGTTTCACGTTTAAACGGTACACCACTGAGCTTGCGCAACTCGTTAACATTAATCAACTCAATGTGCGGTTTGCCATTATGCGTCCTTGGCGAATTAATGAAATTTAACTTGTGTTTTTCATGTCTCAAATGCGCAGCTTAGGATATATAGTATATTTATATATAGCAATTGTTCTTTCAAAATTTTAGCTCCTCAGTGTTAATTGAATTCAGTATATATTTATTGGTATCTCTTTTTTACTTCCTTGTACGAAGTAAAAAGGAAATATTGTAATCGCGAAAAGTTTCAGGCAGCATATTTCAACGAAAATATCCATTTTGACCGCTATCGAATGCAGTTTAACGATGTTTTTGCGTGATATCTGTACGTAAGGACAAAATAAAAGACTCGTTTCCTCCAAAATAATTATAAAACTCCTTTAAAATTAATTCTGAAGAGAATTTTTCGTGGCGTCTGTACGTACGTATCTCGCATAACTCAAAAAAGAGTAGCCCCAGAACGTTGAAATTTTGTATATAGGACTGCTGAACGCTGCTCAAGTGGACTGCCGCCCTTAAATTACATGTAGATGTGCACCTCGTATTTTGGTTGCAATCGGCCTCACCAACGTATATAAATATATTTATATATATCCACTCTGTTATCCGGCTCAGTGATCTCAGTTTCTTTACCTCTTATATGTTTGTAAATGTATATTTTTTTGCTTTAAAAATGATTGAATTATGTTGTTTTTATCTTTCGGTTAAGTTTTATGCCTTTAGTAAATCTGTATGCAATATTTTTAGAATTATCAACAATTTTAAAGTTGTTTAAGTGCCGCTGAGCCTTTTTTTTTTTGATGGCGGCCAATTATTGTTTACACTTGAAACAGCAGACTAGTGGATTTTTTGCCAATCTAGAGAAACTTAGTTTCGCAACAACAAAGATAATGACTTCATTTAATATTGCCAATTAAATCATGCTTAATCCTTTCTGGAATTTTTTCGAGGAAATAAGTGTTTAAGATTTACTTCGTAATTTTTAATACAGATGTTTTGAGTTTTTATGTATTTTTGCCTTTTCGCGAAGTGAGAACTGAATTAATTGAATGAGAAATACTCAATCGTCTTTGAAAAACTGTTTCTTTTTTGTTTTGTTTGCTTAATTCTTTTATACATCATTCTAGCTCTATTATAGTATTTGAACAGAACATGTGGCAACGATTAGATAAGTCTGTTCTTTAAATGATATAAATTTTGTGCATTATGAATTATAATATAAACGAAATATAATACTGTTAAGTGAATCTAGCGCCAGAATGTAGCTATGGTAAACAAATACTAGAGTGAATTTTAAAGAATGCATTTATTCTATTGTGGTTTATGCGCAGTCGGCGAAGTAGATTTAATTCAATCGAATAAGTTTAAACGAAATGCAAGAAAAAATGCATATAATTTAATATTCCGTACAAGGAAGTCATGTGCTGTACACATCAGATTGTTATTAAACGTTTTTGATTTCTTTCACGGTTCGAAATTTAGGTTCAATCCAAATAAAATTCGGAGATATTTCTGATTTATTTTGAAATTTGTATTTTTTAGGCATTTTAAAATGTTTTGAAACAAAATTTTTATTATAATCTATAAAAGTTATAGCATCACCTTAAAGTAGATGTATTTCTAAGCATACTTACAAAAAATTAGATTTATTTAGTCGGAATTTCCCGGGGTGTGCGTGAATTTATATATTGGTGCGTTTTGAAATTTAGCGTATTTGTTAGAAGCGACTGTAACGTCGACTGCGGTATACGCAATTTTTTAAAATTATTTGAAAGAAGGAACGATGCACCTTTTTTTCCGCTCGTGCACAATGAAAGGAAAAGGAAAATAGGTTACCATAAATTAAGAATTTCGCCATTTATGCAATAATTTTACTGTGCCTTTTTGCTTTATAGAATTTGTGGCCATTAATGGGTTCAAAAGCGGCTTATTATGTTGTAGATCTCAGAATTTTGAGTCAACTGACGCTTGACATGTAATGATTGCTCATACGGAACAGGAGATATCAGCTAAACATAGACTTGATGACAATTTTTATCACCAAATTGGTGACATCTGGAATAAGAGAGATTTTTCTCGAAGTTTCAAAATTACTTATCCCTTCCTTTGGTAGCCTGTGAGCGGTTTTGAGTGAGGGTTTGAGGTTATAGTCTAAGATTAGTTTATTTAAAAGTCTCTTGCTGTGTGAAGATTGCTTTAGGTTTCCCTCTTTGAGCTATTTCGATGATCTGCGATATTTTTCGTGCATTAAGGGGACTCTATTTATAGCTGTTCACCTTTCTGTATAGACAGTTGTTTATTTAAAGATTCTAGCTTCTTCGTTTCCTTACATTTCGTAATAATCAACTTATATCTATGAACCGGTAGTATGTAATAATATAATTAGAAAGGGAGAAACTGCATTCGACATAACTAAAAAAAGTGTGATACACAGATTTTACCTTTGATGTGAATCTTAAGTGACATTATGCTTATTATTAGAAATGTATTTTGAATTGTAACGCCATGTTATTACATGCACTGCCCCGAAATGTTAAGCTTGCAGTTTTAAGGATGCATAACTAATTTCTAAAAAAAATAAGAGAAATTATTACTTTACAGTGTGTGTATTTCTGAAATGGAAAATTTCTAACAGAAAAAAATTAGACAAAGAGAAAAATTCAAAGAGAAAAAAATTAGGCATTGGAAATAAGTCTACACAAGAAGCTAATGCCTCGAGAAATTATCATCTAAAATAATGCCCTAGAATTTAGATAACCTCTTTATAGTACACTGGATAAAATTTGAATTTTTTTTTCAAACTGTCTATGATTTTTGCATTTTTACCAGTCGATATACGATATTTTGTATTCTTTGTTAGTTTCAAGATCTTTATTCATCAGGAAATGATTAACTGATGCCCCAAGAAATTCTATCCAAAATAATATCCTCTAAATGCATTTCACACACACACACACACACACACACACACACACACATATATATATATATATATACCCTATCTCCCCTGGAAATGTTGCGACAAATTTCCAGGGGAGACAGGGCACTTCATAAGGATTAAGAATTGCATAGGAACCTACACCCGGAATTGTCAAGGGTAAGTGTTAGCAGAGGTAGAAGATGGGAAAAGAAGCAAGAGTGATTAATTTGAAACATTTATTGGACATGAATTCGAATGGTGTACGACAGCTTGAATGTTACAACAGATGCTTGATGTTTGCACCATCAGACGCCAAACATACCTGACACCGACGGACCATTTGAATGCCGGGACATGTTCAAATACACTGGGAGTTCCTTTGATTGTAGCAGCTGCGCAGGCGAGTCTTACCACGAGATCCATTTCAGGGGTCTGGGTCATAATCCCGACAGCCGAAATCCCGACAAGCCAGAATCCCGACAGTCGGAACCCCGACGGGGCCGAAATCTCGACAACCCAAAGTCCATTATTCAATCAATTAAATCTTGGAATAATCTTTTGTAATTTTTTTCAGATTTGCTAGTCATCAAAGCATATACTGGTTGCAGCTGTGGAAGTATGTTAAGGGGTCATTAGGCCTTATTGGGATTTCGCCCGTGTCGGTATTTTGACCCTGTCGCGATATTGGACAATCGGGATTTCGACCCTGTCGGGATTTTGGTTTGTCGGGATTTCAACCCTGTCGGGATTTTGGCTTGTCGGGATTTCGGCTGTCGGGATTATGTCCGGATACCCCATTTCAGACACAACAGGATCGTGATATGCGACACATTTGATAGATGTTTATGTCATTTCATTTGTAAATTTAAGCTACATAATTAATTAATAAATGTTCTTCAGTAATCAAGTAACATAGAAACGCAAAATTTTAATAAATAGTCAATATAAAACCAAACAATGTTTTTTAAGAATAAAAATTTGGGGATAACATCAAACTTATTTAACCATATTTTACGATGCCCACTGAAGGTAACTGACAATTCAGTTATTCATTTGTATTAGAAGTTATTATTATTTCGTCCATGTATAATTTACATTCCAGTACATATCGATCTTAAGTTTATTTTTCAACTTATGCTTTCTCAAGTTAAGTAAATAAGTGATTCAGCTAATTATCTTAAAAAACTGCGTTTCAAATTTGGATTCGTGGAAACCACATTAGAATACTTTTAGAACGAGAATTTCGGTAAGGCGATTTAACACTGTAAGTGACGAATATTTCTAAGAAATAGAATTTAAAAAATATCTCATGTGGACACCACATGACTTCCTTGTATGGCATATTAAATTGTACACACTTTTTACTGCACTTCATTTAAACTTATTTCCTCGAATTTAATTAGAGATATATTTCTCATTCAATCAATTCAGTTCTCATTTCGTGGCAAGGCAAGAATACATAAAATGTCAAAACATCTTCATTAAAAACTGTAAAAAAAAAAAAAAAAAAAAAAAAAAAAAAAAAAAAAACCCTAAAACACGAAATACAGTTAAAAAAAAACAACTTTTACAATTAAAATCAAAGTTTCTATAGAAAAACAAGCTATTCGGCCAACGTGCAGGAAGGCTAAATGTTCGGTGCACGAAGTTGAAAGTTAACTTTTGGCTCCATAGGGCAATTAGGCATTGAAGTTATGCACAAGCTGATTTAATTCACTATTCTACTAAGAGTTTCAAATGCAAACAAATGGCGGCTTCGTTAGGTCGTACGTCATTTAAAGAACTTTTTAATTGTTGATAATTCTACAGCTATAGCATGCAGATTAACTTAAGGCACAAAAACGTTAAGCGGAACATAAGAGCAACATAATTCAATCACAAGTAAAGCAAACAATGCACAATTTATCGACATATAGGTATACAAACTGAGCTCAAAGAGGCGGGTGAAAGATTGGGAATATATATATTTTTGGTGCGGCCTATTACATCGAAAAAGGGAGGTTACAGTTACATGTTATAGAAGTTCCATATACAAAATTTAAACTTCGTGCGGTTACTCGTTGAGTTATGCGATGTACATTTGTAGGTACATACAGACATAACGAAAAAAGTCTTTTCTGAATCCATTTTACAATCCTTTTTGGAAAAACGATTCTTTTATTGTGTCTGTACGTACAGATGTCATGCAGAAAAAGTCACCCAAATGGATTCGCGAGTGGTCAAAATGAATATTTTCGTTGAAACGTGATATCTGAAAATTTTCGCGATTGCAATACTTCCTTTGCAGTGATCATTATCATCTCCTAAATGGTAAATCTACAACTGACATATACATACAGATCCCCCCAAAATACCTTCATTTCGTCGATTGTGATTGAATTCATTTTGCTACGATTTGTAACATGTACATGGATTCAAATGTCAAATGTTCTAGAAATTCCTTGCCAAACATAAACATTTCCAGTGGTGTTTTGGCTTGATAAGCAGTACATTTGGGTTTCAATTCACTCTTTTCGGTAGATCTTTATCTACCCACTCCACAATTTTCTCAAACTGACATTTAAAATAAAACATCTGAAATGACTAATTATGAATAAAAATGGCAGTATAAGAAAACGTAAGCAATATTATATAATGATAAATTGTACTAACTTGGAAAGAGAAGTAGCAGCCATTTTCCAAATAGCAATGATATACAGTCTTAGTGATGATATACAGTCATCTATGATCGACAGTTGAAAGTTCTAATAAATATAGAATGAATAAACGCAGGAATGAAATCTGTTAAGGCGTTTACAGAAGAATAAACAAATTTAAACTTCTGTCTACTAGAGTGGACATGATGCAACAAAGGGTTAAAAATAATATCCATATCGCTTTTTGTCTTTTTGTATCCTCATTTACATGTATTTAAATTTGCATTTTACATTTGTTTACTTAAATTTTGCTTTACGTTCATTGAAATTCCATTCAGTTTGCTTGAGATCCTTGCATTTATCTAATATTTTTTTTTTATTTTAGATGTTCTTCTCTCAGACGTAGAAATGGAATTCCGGAAGTAGCTTTGAAACGCTTCAGCCGTTGCCTGTGTCGTAGAAGCAGATATTCACCTCCTGAAGATTCCTTGGAACAGTGCACTTCCTTCCGCACTTGTGGACACTGGGAGGATGTAATCCAACCAAAGAGCGGAGAGAAAGGAACACTTTGTCTTCAAATGTCATTTGACAGAGAAGTTATGCTTGTTGGAATTACCTTAGAAATCTGCGCAACTGGAATGTAAGACAAATTTCTTCTCTTACCTTCATTACAAATTGAAACGAATTCAACATTGTAAAATTTCTATTGGCTAACTGAAAAAACAAAGCAAAACATTAAATAAAGGGCTTAAATATAAAGCTTTCCAAAACTGTTCCAGCACAAAAACAGAAGTTGGTTGAATAAGTTTAATAGATTAGCAGATGTTGCGAAAAACTGGCAAATATTATAACTAAAAGTTAAATTTTGGTAGTTAAATTTTTAGTGGTAAACCTGTAACGCAATTTTAGCTCACACGTTATTTTTATATTAATTATTTCCTGTACGTTCTATTTATAACGTTGCGCGCCTCTAACTAGCACGCAACCAAGAGGTGACTGTGAAAGCTTGTATAAACCACAGAGTCTTATAAAGGGTTTAAGTCCCTTTTTATTCAACGTACTAATTTACAATTGCGTTCTCTTGACGCTTACAAACGGTGCCAACTCGGCAGTCAAAATAAAAATAAAAACCTGAAAAGAAATTAAAGACAATATTCTAACTACGAGGCTCTCTCAAATAACTAACTCACCGCGTTTTACAATACGGCTGCTAATTCAGCAGACTTGAAGCTCACTGGAACAATTGCAACTACTTCCCGCCAAGCACATAGGCCGCAACGCGGGGTTTTTCAAATCTCTATAACTACCTCCCTCCGCGCTCGCTAAGTAAGAATAACTCTCTCTCACCGAACTTGTTTCCTTCTATTTAAATCATACTACTTCCGCTGATAATTTGAATGCTTGCGCGTTCTACTCAAATTTACATATTCTGGCATTGGCAGTTCCAGGGGAAAGTAAGGATTGACAGGAAAGATAGTTTTAAACTTAAAATAAATGTTAGTTAAAATAAATATAAACCCTACATTTGCCGCTGCCAGAATTTGGAAAACTTGGAAGCAGGTCCTACAAACGACCTGTTGTAAGTTTATCTAATTCTGAACTAACTGGCGAAAGCCTCGTTTACACAAAAATAATCTTATGTAACAATTAAAATTCTGTTACTCTTTACAAAGGTTTCTTCTTACAGCAACTTTTCCTGGACTTCATCAATCAATCTTGGTCTTTCCTTCCAGCATCTGGAAGGAATAAGTATCAGTATCTTTCTACATACATTATAATTTACACTTTCTTGACACAATAAATTTTTGTTTTTAACGTTTCGTTTTTCTTAGTTATTGCTTACTTCACATTCATTCAATTTTTCAAGCATTAATTTAACTTTACCCTGGCTCTCCACCGTGTGTGGTGTCAAACGGGAATATTCGTGTTTTAGTCTTACAACACTTCCCCTAACCACCATGATTTGTTAGAATTCAACAACCAAATAGACACACACTTACTCGACATTCTACAACTCAATGAGCTACTTTAATATTCTTAAAAATTCAAATGTAGGTGGAGAACCCTACAAAACACATTCATTCTAACTTCCCCCTCATTCATCTTTTAAACATGCAGGCTTTCGCTCTAAAGCATGACTTTACAGTTTAATACTTAAATTTTGACTTCATTGCTTTTAAGCATTCACTTTTAGCATCTAAAATTTTATGCTTCTAGACTAAATTCTACTTTTACATAACATGCAAGTATTTACATACATTTACAAAAGTTTAATACATATGCTTTTTACAATTTACCATAAAATGAATAAGAGAAAATAAATTTTTACTTTACTCATCCTTCGCCAAGCTGGCGGCACTGAAACTAAAATTCTTATTAGTACATACAAGAATACGAAGTTATTTTTTATCTCCGGCCAAATTTTGGCTTTAACATAACAGAATTAGTCTTTCGACCAACAGAAAATGCTTGTTTTTAGCTTTTACACTTAAAGAAAATAATACTTTTGCCTTAGCTAAATAAAGTAAAACAAAAACTAAGTCTCAACCGAGACATATTGACTTTCGTCAAAACATAGAACTTCGTACTTATGCATAACATTTCGGAACAAAAGAGAAAAAATTTATAGAAGGTTTTAACTTATCTTTGAGTTTTCGATGCTTGAAACTCCGTCATCCGTTTTTGACAAAATTGATCCCAAGTTAGAGGTGTCATGGATGTCAATCTTCTCCTTGTTGATCTCCAATTGTCGTCCCCGTTGATCTTTCTTTTGCGTCCTCTACATGCTGGCCTCTTGACGGAGTAATCGTCTGGTTGTTGGCTTTTGCGTTTCTGCCTGGGACGGCTGGTCTTGACGTCCTCCGGTCTGGAGTCCTTGAATTTCTTCTGTTCCTCGTACTTCTGTGCTTCCTGTTGGCGTTTCAGTTTCCGGAACGGCGGCCTTGCTGGCACCTGACTCTGTGGCCGTGTGCGCGTTCTTCTTGATGTGTAATTCCTCCTGCCATCCTTGTAGGTGGTGTTTTTCTTTTTACCACGGTTTCTTTACCCGGTTCATCTGTACTTTTGTTTTTTCTAAAACGCCGGAGTTTGATAATCATTTTTCTTTTTGATACCGACGTCCGGGTTGTAGAAGTGCTAGGTCTCTCTTCAGTTCTCCGTTTCTTGGGTGGTGGAATAGTTGTTGCAGTCTCTGGCCCTTCTATTTCGTTTAGACTTGAGTCCTGCAAGAAACTTTTAAGGATTTCAAAATCATTGGGATTATAGTATTTTTTCACCTGGTCGGGACTTGCTTTACAGATTTCCCTCTCTCGTTTTTAAGATATAAAACTACTCCTTTGATTTCCTGAATTACATAGGGGCCTTCAAACTTTGGAGCTAGCTTTGCCATAAAATTGTCTGGGGCACTTGATAAAGAAAATTTCCGTTTCAATACTTTATCACCAACTTTAAAATCTGCTTCACGGCGTTTTTTTATCGTAATAAATTTTCTGCCTATTTCTTGCCGTATCCGAGGTTTTAAGCGCCTGATCAATTAGTTTTTGCACGTCCTTTTGTTTGAATTCCTGCTCTCTTTGTTGCACAAAGAATAATTTATCTAAAGGCGTAATTAACTTTCTGCCTAAAAATAATTCTGCTGGAGTTTTTCCCGTAGTATCATGATGTGCCGTTCTTAAAGCATAAGCTAATTCATTTATGTAGCCATCCCAGCGCTTGTGATGTGTGCTAACGTAACTGCGAATTATTTTTACAATGTTTTTATTAACTCTTTCTGCTATGTTAGCCTGTGGTCTATACGGAACCATTTTGATATGGCGTATATCAAGTCCATTGCATATGTTTTCAAATATTTGACTAATGAATTGTTTTCCGTTATCGCTAATGACTTTTATCGGTGCACCGTATTTTAAAATGTATCTGTGTAAGAATGCATCTGCGACTGTTTTGGCTGACGCGCGTTTAAGTGGAACAATTTCTATCCATTTTGAAAAATGATCTACTATTACTAAAAGAAAACGATTTTTATTTAACTCGCTCTGGGGGAAGGGACCAAGGAGATCTATGCCTAAAATTTCATTCGGAAATGTAGCGCGAATGCTATTTAAGTACCCGGCCGGGCTGTAATTAATATCATTTATTAACTGACATTGATTGCAGGACCTGACATACGCCGTTACTATTTTGTATAATTGCGGGAAATATACCGCCTCGCGTACCCTTTTTAAAGTCTTTCTGACCCCGAGGTGGCCCGCTGTTTTTTTTTCGTGCAACTCCCTCAAAATGCTTAATCGAAGCGAGGCTGGGATGACTGGCTTATACTCAAGATTTTCGTTTGTTGTTTTCGTATAAAATAATAAATTATCTATTATTTCATAGTTTTTTGCTCTATTTCTTATCGCATCGATATCTGTATGCTCAAAGCCTTCGGGGTCTTTCAAATAAGCATAGATATTTCCAAATTCAGGATCAGCTTTCAGTTCAGTAATAACCGTATCTCTAGAATCTAAAATTTTTGAAGTCAACACAGCGCATTTAAGTTCATTACCTTCCTCGTCCAGTTTTATACGAGAAAGTGCGTCAGCTACATTGTTTTCCTTACCCGGTTTATATTTTATTGTGATATTATATTCTTGGAGTTTTAAAGCCCATCTTATTAACCTGGGCGTTAGGTTTTTTCCCGAGTAAAGTCTACCAACAGCCGCATGATCCGAAAAGACAGTTACTGGCGATTTGCCGAAATAAACTCGAAATTTGTGTACAGCCATTAATACGGCTAATGTTTCTCTTTCTGTAGCTGTATAATTCCTTTGTGTTTGATTCAATGTTTTACTAAAAAATGCCAGCGGATGGTTATTTTGCATAAGAACCGCACCCACCGCATAGTCTGATGCATCTGCCGCAATTTCCAGGTCAATTTTAAAACAGAGGCATTAATAAGCGCTTCTTTTAATCTTTCAAAAGCCGTGTTAGCTTCCGCTGTCCACGTAAATTTACTCTTTTTTCTTTTGATTACTTTGACAAATTTTCTTTTTGGGCCTTGCCCTTCAAGTTTCGATGCGTTAGCTTGATAGTTCTTTCCCCCATATGAGCGATTTCCATTTCTTGTTTCCTCCTTCCTTCTGGTACTTTGAGAATATGTTTCCCCTCTCGCTCTTTCCGCGATTCTGCGATTTTGAAACTTCACCGCCAATTCGAAAAAGTTCCTGCAATGTGGTTGGGTTTCTAATTTCAAAGTAGTCTTGGACAGCGGGTAACAATCTTGGTAATATTATTTCAATAATCTCCGCATCGGGTTTTTTCCCATACAACATATCCGTTAGCTTTGATTTTTCGTAAAATAAAGTCCGTCAATTGTGCTGTATCCCGTTGATAGAAACTATATAGCTCGGCTTCCAGCCGTGCGCGATCTTTCACTATGGGGAAGGCCTTTACTAACGATTTTTTGAAATTTTCAAAAGTATACGTCGGGCTTCCAAATTCACCTAGAAGAAATTTGCCTATATTTTCCACCATAGCGCGGCCTGTCCTCTTAGTGCTGATGTGGCGATAGCAACTTTTTGTCTTTCGGGCACAGGATAGAGCTGAAAGTGGTTTTCTATACCTTCTAAAAATATACGGACACCGAATTTTTTCCGTCGAAAT